GCCTTACTTAGATATGGTAAAATTTTCAAAACATTTGAGCGAATTTTTAAATCTAAGATTTGAAAATTTTTAATAATCTATAATATATCCTATAGATAGATAAACCGTCTCCGCTCAGAATCGTTTTTCGTATACAATTATTATACAATATCATTGGATTAAAATTTAATTCCATCCATTACAGTAACCCACTTGTAACCTACTGTACAGCAGAGTGACATCCACGACTTACCCGCTTTTTCAAACTGTTTACAATAGAAATGCACAATGTAATATTCTCTTACATTGTACCTACAATATTAGCTTATATTATTGTAACGACATTATTATCTTATTTTATACCAACATATTAAATATGGCACCAAGGCGGTCCATAACTGGCAACTGCTAAATGTCACCTATATACCTGTAATATTCGAATCTTTTGGATTTTGTTTTGTTTAAACTTACACTCACAACAATCTACAATAAATTTATAATAATTTGTTTAATTATTGTTAGACCGTTTTTATTCCATATTTATTATTACTTTTTTCTTTTTTCTTTTTTTTCGTTCTTCTAAGACAATTGCACAGGATGAAATTATTCCAAACAAAAAATAACACAGTTTGTTTCATTACATTTAATTTTGATAACAACATTATAAATACAAACATATAAAATATTTTTAACAAATAAAGTTAAAAATTATAATAACAATTATTTATGTGCAAGGATAGGTATCAAGGATAGTAAAAAATTTGGTAGGTATACCAACGTTCATTGCATTATACATAATCACATAACTATATACATACATAGATATAAAACAATATACTTTGACATGAACTCAAAATGTCGACAAATCATTTAAATAAAGGTATAGCTGGTGATAAACAATTAACATAGCTTATATAGGTACCTAATATAATATAGGTAATATTGACGTTTGGCCGAAATAATAAGTATAGGTACTTATACTTATTATTTCAGTCATTTTCAGATACATATACATATATAAAGGACGAAGGTACCTATTATCTATACAATAAATTATTAACATATATAATAATATGGTATCGTTGCACGAAATAATAAAAACCTATAAAAATGGATCAAGTGCGATTTATTGGAGTGTGAATCCAAGTGTGTATATTCCGTGCGTAATGTGTTGCGTATAATATAATACATGGTCAAATAAAGGACTGATGAAACAATTCCGGTAGAAGATAGGATACAATGACCACGTATACGGTATTTAGTCGTAATAGACTGTCATCGTTCTTCCTTAAGCCGAGCGTCAGACGTGATTTGATTTACAAAAATATCTACGAGTGTGTGTTTGTGGGTAACCTAACCTAACAAAAGATAAATCGCGAATATGACCATTTTGGTGGCTTTATACGGTACAGTGATCGATCACTCGAGAGACTCTATTATACATAAATTACTCTTGATGGTAACGCTACCGTGACACACTAGCTCGCGGAATCGGATTTATGTAAAAATTTGACGATTCTTTGTTTTTCATTTTATCGATCCTCTTAAGGGAGTAGAGGGGGGAGAGAAACATTTTTTTCACTTTTCGCTCGACAATTTTCTCCTATAATATCACATTTGACAGAGTGGTAAGTGCCCGCCTGGAGCGAGTGGTCGGACGAACAAAAGATATAGCTCGGCGTTGTACTATACTATAAAAGGCACTTGTGATGTCTGCTTTCTTCTGTGCGAACAATACGTTTAAATACTTTTAAGAGGCGCGTTTTCCTACCGGTGTGTGAGATAGGTGGTGGTAGTGGTGGTGGCAGTAGCAGGGATGGGATACAAAGCAGTCGAAACAGGCTTTTGTCATTTCCTAGGGGAGGAAACAGCCGGGACGTAGGAAAATGAAAGTCTACCGTTTTTGTAAAAGGTAAAAACGAGTAGATATTATCAGAAAAATAAAAAATAAATATCGATGTAAATTACGTTTAACCAGCGTAATAATAATGCCAAAAATATCGATGAATGATTATAATTTTCGACAAAAAAAATATTCAAACAAAATAATAATGCTTAATAGTAGKTACCTATTAATATAAAGATAATAATAATTATATAGTAACCGAAAACTATAACAATAACAACGATAACAAATACATCTCTAAATGATTCCTCATTTTAAAAACATTTCAAATAGCCAGTTAGCAACAAAAAATCTTTTGTAAAATAGAGTACCTATGTTATATTATATATATAATTAAACACTCCATTACATAACATCCGTTACTCTTTCCATAACTTGCCATTATTGCCGAAATGATTGATCGATGACATAATATTCTAATATACTACAATATAATAACCACCATTTAACTACATTTATTTTAAAATTATAAAGTTATATTAGCAACAAAACGTGTGCACATTGGATATATTTTTGGAGGACGTTATCTCCTTAACGAGAAATTTAATACGAAAACTGGTTTGAGCTAAGATATTGTCCGTGAAGAGTTTTGTGTGCCTAWAAATTATAATGCCTAAGATATCTCTACATTTATTATTCAAATTTATGTCTAAAACTACACTTTATTATATACACGCCTAAAAAAGTATGATAGTGCCTGAATTATATCCTATGGCGTTGGTGAAGCRACTATTGAAAGGATGATATTTAATATTATATCAGACAAACKCTGTAGGAAGAAATTTTAATWAAAGTTAGTTCAAACGGCGTGTGGACGATGCCGATTGCACCATATCATCGTAAGTAATTCGTCAACGACTAACATGGAAATCTGGCAAGTGTCAATTACAACAAGATAATAATAATAAYAATAACTCACCCCTACGGCACGCAYAAACGCCTAGAGCGCTGTCGTTTAAAAACGTCAACAGTCGTGTGATTAAACGGGAGTCATAGTTGCATTTCTTACTTAAATGTTTTGAAATCTAATAATTTGGGACCTGGTACGAAAAGATAATGTCGGGGCGTCGAACTATATATTATTATTACGATAATAATATTRAATGGCCGATAGATCCGTTTGACCAATAATAAATAGGAAATTAACAACCCTTTCGTGGATGTCTGCAGGAATACGATAATAATACGGGAAACGATACGTTAATCGAAAAATTATAACAATACAGGTAATATAAGGTAATAATAATAATAATATACCATGCGAAAATATATCGTCAAGATTCACACGAYCGCAGACACCATTTTGTACACCTTGTACAGCAGCCAGGCGACAAGAGCGTACTTCAGGTATATCACCACCAAATCCAACACGTAAAGTCTGCAAAAAAAATATATACGAGTATATAATATATATTATATAATACCAAATCTTTATCGGCCGTGAGTAACGAAGTGCGTTGAAGGGTGGTAACTCATTTGCACACACATGAAAAATTTTACACATTTACTGTGACGACGACCCGTTTTAGCAAGAAATTATATAAACGATGAAAACCCATTTACAGACAGACCCCCAAGGCCCAAGTAAATCAACACACCTCTATATAGGATGTCCAGTTTTCCAACCCAGATGACATTCACTAAGTGTCAAGTGAACACTTTTATAGTTTTATTAGTATAGTATGTATGATATTTATTAATTTACAGAAATGTAAGCAAAATTTTCAAYTCTGTTCAATTAATTTAATATATGCATCAATCAGAAAAGTTAAGAGTCAAGAGTTAATTTAATTTTTGATTAACTTAGTTAAATGTCTCTGGGAATGTGCGCAAACTACCTGAATCAGGGCAACTATTGTTGTCTCTCAATTTATTACATTTAAAAGCGAGCTTACACTTTCAGAGTTTTCCTGGCCTTGGGTATGGACGCAGGGTCTTCCTTCAGGCAATACTGACGGGCGCCCAGGATACAATTTCTGAAATAAACATCCATGTCCATTTTCTCGAAATCTATGCTGAACGTTTCCCGGTCCACTTCAGACAAGCTATTCCGGAGCGCTAACAGTCGGTCRTTTGTGAAGTCCCAATTACGCAACGTGAAATATTGGAGGACACGAAGGCCATCCGATATCTTTTGCTGAACTCTGACCATACTGTATACAAAAGCAAAACATTTATGTCTTATATCATGTCCGAGGTGTATCGTCGTTATTAAATTATATTTTATATTAACATGTCAAAATAAGAACTATCGATTTTGAAGGACATTATTCATAATTATATGATTAAAAAAGATGGGTCATCAGGTATGTCGTAATTTGTATCTTAATAATATTTAATAATTTAAGTTTTTCTAATAATTTCTCAAATATTTCACTCTGTACCGATAAATTTTAAATAATTAATGATGTATATAAAAAAAAAAATCATAAACTGTGATTACAATAATTAGATATTCATTTAATTTTTTTAAATCTTAAATATGTTATTAAGAAAATTGTCGATTCAAGATTTTTGATTATTTATAATAATTATTCAATTACTAAATTATTACGTTAGAATTATTATAAATTATAAATGTTGTGCCTATTGTAATATAAACATATTTTTGTACTCGAGTTTTAAGCTGAAGATGTAAAATCAGAAGTATTATTAATAACATTATTGTCACTATTAAAATTTAATCTAAATATTTAGAATTTTTAAGTTTAACATATAAACAGGAGTTAAAACGTATTTTTGAAAATTAAATTAAATTGTAAATATTGTAGAATAATCCGGTAAGAATTTCATCAAATGTTTTTAACGAACATGTCAATAATAATATTATTTTTGAGCGATGTATACAACTCTCATTTAAAATCTATGACACTACTCAGTACTCACAAACGCTTTTGACCGAGCAAAAACAAAATTCCGTCGATAAGGTAGGCCGGTATCCAATGGTAACATATCACTTTGTAAGTGTGAATGAATCGGTTTGACGTCATTGACCCTGTAGGATACCACAACATGAGCTCGAACGGGTTTTTCATAGTCTCTTCTCTACCTTTGGCCATAACGGCACCCCAAGTCATTGGGTTCAGATTGTGCTGTGTCAAATTATACACGGGAATAATGTTGGTCCTGTTCAACACAAAATAGATACTTAATATTACAAAAAATACTAATAATAATTTGCACATCAGTACTCAAACACGCGTGCGATCGAAAAAAAATGTTTCGCTCGATATAAGATTCGTTTAATTATTTTAAATCATGTAAAGTACATAATATTATCGATTGGTTCGAAGATCATCGATAGCATCAGCATTCATCGATGTTATCAGGAGCATATATATGTAAATAATTCCATGTTTTTTTTTTTTTTATTTATCGTATTACTTATTTTATTGAGAGTTATTGTATTTTATCAGCATGACTTCTTTGATCGTTATAAGGTCAAAATAATTACTATTGAAGAGTTACATTTGTGTAAAGCAAAATTTTTAAGGCTAGAGACTTTTTATAAGTTGAAAACCTATATTTTTAGAAATACCGTAATTCAATTCAACGAGTAGAGGTTGATTAGATATACTTAATTATATACAAACTTTAATGTCTACATGAAATAATTTTCATTGAAGTCTGATAGTTAAATTTTTTCATTAGGCGCGAATTTTAAAATTGTTTTATGTAATGGCTCGATTTTTTTTCATACAAACAACATTGTAATATAATAATTTTATCCATGCCACTAGTTGCTTTCGGAAAAGAATTGTTTATTATTTCATAATCTCCCCCCCCCCAACATCCACCTACCACGATAGTATACCACTGGCTGTTTTGTCTATTATTGTAATTACTTATTATTATTATTATTATACCCCAGTCTACAAGTCTGTATATACTTGCTTTTGTTTGGTGATTGCTGTTTTCCACGCGATTACGATCACAGCATTAATTGCAAAGTCCACCGGCACGGCTTCGGTGGTGTATTCCGAATTGCAAAGTACGGACCGGAGCACGCCTTTGCCGCCTGCGGCCAATATTCCTGTGGGCCCGTTCAGATTGTCCACCCAACCGGGCAAAGGTTCCTTGAGCGCTGGCGTCACTGCGGAAAAACAACTGTTKAGTCTTATGATTGTGTGACAACCCACCACCGCCACCATAAAACACCCCACATCATCTCACCTATTGAAGGCCTTGCGATGACGACCGGAAGCTGGGGATGAAAATCTCTGACAATATCTTCGGCCARGCGTTTAGAAAATGTGTAAGTGTTCGGATGTGGATTTATCAAGCTGCAATCACACGTTCGACGTTTTCACGTAAGTACAAGATAACTGTTATGTAAAATAACCACAGARGTTGATTATAATAGATGATTGCGTAATCAGCACGATGCAAATGAAAATCTCTCAACATTGTTGCCGAGAAACTTGCATAAGACTTATAATGATGATTGTACGATTTTAGTTAGGTAACCTACAACAATGTATATATGACGTCTAACCGTGTATACTAACCGTTCGAATGATAACATAATACAGGCAATAATCGATCAACGGGAAGAGTTTTTCCATAAATATTATATTTCCTATCACTTATTATTTTATATTATACAGTGAAAAAGCATTGTCGTATGATACATYGTACTCACTACTCAGTGTATAGTGTATACCTCGTTTAATAAAGGTTGGTATGTCTTTATTTTTTTTCATCATTTACATTTTTTGATTATAACTAAACAATTATTGATGATGAGAAAAAATTTCAAGGATCAAAAATTGAGTGCAAAATCTTTATATGAATTGATATGCAAATATGCAACATCATTATTTTCATATCTCTACGAAAGTATCAAATTYTTAAAAATCTATGGCATAGCTTTTTTTTTACTAATTTAGCACTATTAAGCAGCATGTGTTTAAAATGTGTTTCATATTATTAATAATTATAATTAATATTTTTCACTTGATCTAATGGCGTAGGTGGTTTTCTTAACTTATCATCAAAAGTTGTGCAGTTAAATATATAATTTATAAGACGCGTCATAAACTCTATCACGAGGGGTCTCATGCAATAACTAACTGATATTTTATGTGACATTATGATACATATTATAATCGCACAAGTGCAATAATGCAGTCATATGGAAAACGATAATAGAAAATGCATAATATTATCGTGATATTAATAGCTGAACTGGTACACTGATTGACGATGTCATTTCGCGTCATGGTAAGTGGTATAAACGGGCTATTATACAAATAATGTAATAATTCAAATGTATTAAATTATTATATATTAATTATTATTATAATGGGAATATATAATTGTTTCCTTACTGAGGCGTGACCATCTTGATGGAGTTTTCGTTGAGCCAAGATGGTAAYCTCATTATGTTGTATACRTCGAAAGTCGATTTGTGCACTTCCTCGTCTAACGTTTCCAAGTCTACGTGACAAAACGCCGTGGAGAAATGTACGAAAGCCTGAAACATTCACATCGTCGAATTATACCATGGTTATCACCCTATAGCCTATAGGTTATTACTTATTACGCGTAATAGGTATGCGCTCGAAAAACTTTATAATGCCACTGTCGCGATCGAATCGCCACAGTCAGCCTTAACGAGAAAACGTGATTATTGCCACATTTTCGATGGGTATCTGTGCGATACATATTTATTAACAGTCGCGCGTTGGGCGATCTACAACTTTTTGAAGTTTTCAACACACAAACTGGAATTGAACTATTTGTGGTCGAAAACGCAMGAAACCGTTGTCGTAATCGTCCGAAATCCGTATATTATTATAACGTTTATACACTGTGCGCTAGCATCAGTTTGAAATAATTTTCTAGGTAATCAAATATTTCGGATTATTTATGATATAAATATTATATTATGATTAAATGATTTCCAGAGCAGTAGCTGTGGATGATTTCTAATTTATATTAAGAATACATTCCCGAAAGTAAGGGAAATAGGTAACTACGTCACAGTGCGTGTTAAAGAAGGGGGAGGTAGACCACAGTAAGAATCTAAATAAAAAAATATCCAGGGTAAAATTGTTCAAAATCAAAAATGGCCGTGGTGAAAGAGTCCTATTACAACATTTAAGTACTTATTAACTGACCTTGGCAAAGTTTTTAAAATAAACAATTGGATAAATTCACAAATGAAATAGACAACTCCACAAATAAGTAACTAACTAAAAATGTATTTACAACATAATTTTATATATTAAGAAATTTGTAGTTTACTTTAAAAAAAAAGTTGAATAGTTAATATTAAAAATTGTTAATCTAACCTAACGTTGACATTTGAACAGCTTACATCGATCAGAATATTTTTTTTAACCATAAAAGATAGATCGCATGAATATTGAATGTCCTGTGTAAAAAGCATCATTCTGTGATTAGTGATTACTAATTATTATGTATTTCTTGTACATAATATTATTTAATTAAAATGTTTGAAATCGTGAGTAACGGTACACTTGACAAGGCCAGTCATAATTAACTGTACATAAACATAATTCATAAAATAATCAATTTTGTTKTWTATGCTTGATGGATTCATATCATTATTATATTTTCATCGGTATTAATTGTATAAATTAGTGTATACTAGTTAATATCGTTTAGCTTAATGATAGATTAAGAAGCCTGCTTACCTATAGCTGCAGGTTTCACAGAATTCTCGGATTTGCGAAATTGTGACCATCCGATGTTGTTTTGGCAAAAGGAAATAGCCGAGATGSTTATAACACTACCATATATAGACTATAGTTTACAAGAATTTATATTTAAATAAAATCTACTTTTCTTTAGCAATAGCCATGAGCCATAAGGCTAGGTATGCATACATAATTATAATTTATTATAAAATATGGTGTATTAGTATTAAAGATTTCGTAGCCAGCTATACACATACCCATGAAAATAAATAATTATTTACTTTGAATTACAATAGTATTACAATATTGATTAATATTGTTGTTTATTGAAGTACCTACACATACAAGGCAGCAGTACCTACCTGAACTGTTTCACACGTGGCAGAGCCGAGAAGGCTACATTTATTAACAAATATAATAAATACGTTTATACATATTTACGATATTATTATATGATTACCTCTAAATTTTTCATGTCTGAGCACAATTCGAGCATGCGTAATGTTCCAGTWGTGTTCAAGTTTATAGCTTCAGTCAGTGATGCGTCCAAGTTTAACGTAGCAGCTCCGTGAAAAACAATAGAAACTTCAGATATCAGCCTTTCCTTCATTTCCTGTGTGATTCCCAGTCCCTCCAGACCCACATCACCGCACACAACTTGTAGCTTAGACAACAGCGATTTATTCGTTTTCCTAATGGAATCAAACAACTATCGCCGGAATATTGAAATATTTTATAATATAGTTAATACGCCATTATACATCTATGTATAATAGACAACATTCTCACCGGCGCTTTTATGATTTCTTGGTATCGCAAAAGAGCAGATTTGCCTCTTTTCGATCTTATCAACACGAAAATATTCTTTATTCCCGGACAGCTGTACAATAACTTCCAGACGAGCACTTTTCCCATGAGACCCGTACTTCCAGTGACGAATACGGATCGGCCATTGAAAAACTGAGATATTACGCTTTTTTCCATTTTGGACTCGACCTATATAATCAAACGGATTAAAACGTGATACAAATATTCTTACACTTTTACATCATTCGCTGTACGTATTAAACAGTTTATTATTATTAGTTTGATAAAGACTTCAACAGCAAGGAAGTTTAGCCTATACATTGACTTAATAACTACATATAGATTCAATAATGTGTATAGTTTATTATTTCTTATATTTTCTAAAACCATTTCATTTGAATGGTGGAAAATGCGTTGCAATAAAATAGGTACCTACCTAAACTATATTTTAAATTTACTATCATAGTCATAGTGATTAGGTATATGAATATCGGTACAATAAATATGAATATAAAATTACCATTACAATATCATTATTTAATTAACTTGTACGAGATGTTGCTCATTAAGTATTACACTGCTAAATTAAAAGTACATGCATAAATTAAACTGTTATTTTCGAGTTAATCAAATTATAATTAAATTACTAATTCAAATCGTAATAAACGGAATAGGTTTATCATTATTTAAAACCTATTTGCATCATAAACGACGGACGTGATAAAATAATTGCATACATATTTCAAACTAATTATACGGATTGCATATTACGGTCTGATAACACTGATAACAGTATATTAAAAAACAAAATCAATTGACAATAATATTTTTAACGATAATAATAATATTATATGTTATATTATTATTATGTTTAGGTGGGTAATGGTTTAATGGTACCGAAGTCATAAATGGAAGACTAAACTCTTACTAATCGATCGATGACCTGAAGTTAAAATTAGTTTGGCTATGAGCTACACGTTATGAGTGTTTTATTATTATAGCTACTATTTAAGTTATGTGGAATAACTTATTATTAAAAATAGTTTTTATTTTTTGATTATATTATGAAAATAACAACACAATATTATAAGCACACGAGCGTCACGACTTCTTCGTTTACATAATATTATTATTAAGTAACGGGTTTCGATTAATATTATCCATAATCTATTCTAAAACTGTGTTTATAAATAAACTTATTATTACTAGGCATTTGTTTTGAATTGATATCTAATCGAATCATATTACTCTATGAATCGAATACGTCGTATTTTACATGATTGTAAAATGGTTAACATGCGACATGCCGTAAATACTGTGTTTCCTATATATGGAATAAGGAATAGATAGTAGACACTTCTAATATTGCATATATTATCGTTAGTTTGTACACAATATATATTATAGTGCTGTGAAATAGTAAAAGTTTTATCATCAATGCATGTACARTGCATTAATAAACAGTGAGGTTAAATAAGCCTCCCTGAAGTAATAACCTATTATTAAGTAACATTTTCACCAACGATGATTATTACCATATTAATAATATTATGTTATTATTTAMAGTTTTGAATATTTTAATGTTTGCCAATTTTATTTCTTACGTCTTGAAAAATGTTTAAAAAAAAAATTTAATATTGAACTATTTAGAATCTTAAATATCACAATATTATTTATATTATACTATGATGTATACACAAACACATTATATTATTAAAATACATACTCTGCCATAACGTCTTATGAACGTAATTGCCTTACAACCATTCGTGTAAAACCAAACATTGCTAAAAACTTTTGTACTACAAATTAAAACGTGGCATTTCATCCAAAAAATGTATATAAATTAATATATAAGCAAAGCAATTAATAATAAAGAAGATTTGACATATTTTTGATATTTTCAAAATTCTATCGCATGTAAATGCATTTACATATTAATTTTAAAATATAAATTTCTGAACCAAAATAACACAACAAATTTATAACTATGAAGCTTTACCTTAAATTTAACTTTTTATTTGCTATCACCTAAAAATCTTTTAGAAATTAAAAATTAACCTGTGAAGTATTTATTTATTTATTTCAAAACTAATAAAAAGGTTGTGCAAGACTCTCAAAGCACCTACTTATTGAACCAAAAATAKAATAATATTATGAAAAAAAAATTATAGATGCGATACTTGACATATTATTTTGATATTCAAATGCAAATAGATTAAGTTGCGATTTTCGATTTTATAATTTGTTGTACTAGGTACTAACTATTACAGTTACCTATTATAGCATAGTATAATATATGTATTAGTTTTCAAAAACATTTAATAAGAGACCCGTAAATAATGAACCAACTTATAAATTATTATTATACAATCTTATCACTCTTATATTCATGCCATTTATGATTTAGTATGTTAATATAGGTGAAGAAGTTGAATCAAAAATGGCTTACAAAATACAATATATTCATATTTTTCAAAACATTTAAATGTTAATCTATAAATAAATACAGAAACAAATTTAATACAATTATTAAGTTAAAACAAATTTTATAAAAATAMGTTCAGTTCTTATTCAAATAATCAGTTTTTAATACATAATACCTACCTAGAGGCTAGAATCTATATGTATTTTATAAAAATATATTCTTATTTATTTCTAGATGTTAAGTTATCCGTTAGATAAAATACTCAAACAACTTAAAGGTTTTTATTTTTTATTTATAGTTCTTGGAACTCGATTATTTTTTGCCGTAAATTAACTAACTTTTATTTCGATCTAGATAAAACCTAAAAATTGACAAATGCCAATAATACTATAAAATATATAAAACGATTACGGTTTACATCGCTAGTTATTTCGATACATCTCAATACCTACAGGGGTGAGAGGATTGGTAGACACTAGAGAAGTGGACTAAAACTTCAAATAAATACCTTGTTATAGGTAACTAAATCTTTGGAATTAATTACCAAGTAACAATCCGAAAATTAAATGTGAGGAGTATTATTTTATGAGTATTGTTGTTATTTATTTTTGATTTTTAGAATTCTTATTTACTTATAAAAAATGCGCCATTTTATGTCACAATATTCAAATCTTATATGCAGATGTATAAATGAAATCAATACTAMAAAAACAGCTATCAAATATCTTACACTTGTACACACATTGTTTAAGTCTTTTAAATCACCTCTCCTCCCAAAAAATTAATAAATGAAAATAAACGGATGTCATGACCTTCACACCTCATAATCCTTTTTATTTTATCTAAGACTCTATGTGCTATGTAATTTAAAAATCAAGCTTTATTTTCAATTTTAAGCATTAACATGTTTTGTAAATATCACTTATCATAACTAATTCGTATGGATTATGTGAATTAATTAAAGGGRAAAAAAGGAATTCGCATACATCAGAGCTGTGTACAACGCACAATATATTTTTATATTAAATGTTAAGAAACAATGCCAATTATTCTCGTTAAAACGAATAATAATAATCGTTTTATAAATCTCGCACGCGTTAAAATTCAAGGCGTGCATATTATACGTATAATATATATTATAACATAATATAATAATGTATATTATATGTTTGTTCGACACTAGTATAACCTATACCGAAATTGTGTTGCCTGTTTAAGACTTATTTAGTTTGAGTAGTAACTAGTAATCAGCGTCCCATCGTATAGAAACYACACACGTAATCAGAGATAGAAGAATTTTAATTATAAGCCTCGGTCCTTGCACTTTATCTACCACACTCGTGGTATGGTGAGATTAACGAAGCACAACATAATATAATATGAACTTCTACGCGTAAACTTCTCTAATGAAGATAGCTTATGAACTTTAAGAGGTCGCACAAAAGAGCTGGTAAAAATAAAACTAGTTTATATCATATTTGTTTGGTTTGCATCCGGARACTGGAGAGTGTAATGAAAATCACCCGAACGCCGCAAAACTCGTTATCCGATCATTATAAAACAATATTCCAGTGATGGTATTGGCACACCTATCCATTAGAGTGAAAACAATTATTAAAATTTCACATTTCGATCTCGATCCATACGCTATTTACGATTTGTTTATAAATGTTATACCATAATAATATAATACAAAATATTATGAGGTTAAATGTTCGATGTGGTATTCACTATTCAGTCATAATTTACCGCAAGATTTGGGTAGATTGTTGTACATACAATAATATCCAAGTCGGTAGTACAGTGATCGAATACAATTATTATTTACCTAATAATAATTTAAGTCATTTAAGAAAGGTCATTGCACTTTCAAGTTGTTTCAAAATGGCTAACAAAAAATACACACCGTTACACACGWTGTATATATATTATATTTTTAAAAGTATACCATCAATATTAATAACAATTTCCTGCAAGTAAAATGAAATGAATTGGAATAATAAGAAATAAATACCTATTAACTTTTGACGAATTAAATATAAAATTATAAACGTTTTTATAATTTATTAAATTACAATAATAATTATTAATTATTTCATGGAAGTAAAAAAAATATTACTCACTAGTATTATATAGGTATAGTTATTACACCAATATTAAATATATTTATTTACAATCAATGCTTTGATATAAAGAACAAAAGTTCTATAATCGTACAGTTCGTACAACTATTTGTACAAAGGAAATAAAGTAGAATACAATATATTATAATGTAATGTCATGCTAAACTATCTAAATTGTATGCGAAAACAAATTAAATGTCAGTAACGATGCCAACCCGCTCGATGACATCCCCTCGAGCTATTTTCGGACTATTAATTCCACGTAGGTAGGTAATGTGCATCGATTAAACCGATTAACAACTGAACCCTTTTTTACAGATTTTAAAATATAAAACATATCTAAATATTTTATAAGTATAAAAGTACCTACTTACTATAGTTCGGCCGCAGAATTTTATTTCGACGCCTAGGTGTTAGGTATGGCCAAAACTGATCGGAAAAGCTTGTGTTTTTATGRTTTYTAMTTTAAAAAGCGGCGGAAGTGTCTTTCGTCCATACACCTATTTTTAGGAATGTTATCGACTGCGCTTTCCACCCAGCCAATCTATCGTTTATGGTCGTCGAAATTGTGTGAGTGTCAGAGAGAGAGAGAGAGAGAGAGATGGCCATAGATTTTACACCACTAAAGTCTTAGTCCA